AGAAAAATTTTGTCATATTGAAGAATCGAACTGCAGATACGGGATGCTAATGTCAATCTTATTACCACTAGGTTAGGGAACAAGTATTGAGAAAAATGACCGAAAAATGTTTAAATAATAAAGGGCCACAAGCTTATGCTTCTTGGGCATGGCCTTTGGGCCGACTCTGGTCTAGTGTCTATTACCAATCGTTTGAATTCGACCTTTGTTAAATACCCCTTTGCAGCGAAATGAGTAGACAAAAATGTCCCTTATATCATCTCGTATATGTGTTAATGTTAATGTGCATGGTCGAGTAATAGAGAACATGGAATAGAATGATTGCCACATTATCTGATTTCTCTAGGTATTATCAAACGGTGCAAAGAAGAACTATATAGAAAACAATGATACTAGGAATTAATGGAGTCTTTAAGATCGGAATAAACTAAAGAGAGGTGTACCTAGTCATGGGTTCTCCTTTCCATAACTATACAAGTGTCCCAGACAAAAATGACCAGTTTCAGCGCCCTTACTGAGGCATCGCACATTATCTTTTCTTTTATAACTTTACTGACTCTGACACCATCAGATCCACACGTGGCGACAATTCATTTATTTACTTTCCCCAATTAGGGTTCTTGGTCGTGGTTTTTGGGGTGATTCAGACCATCTTTTTCTTTGTGTCTTCGAGCCTCTCTACTTTTAGTATTTTCATATCTTTAATTTCTTGACCTGTCAGAATATGATTGGCCCAACATGCTTCAAATTCGTCGTTTATTGTTGATAGGATTTTGTACTTTTTTGTTTGTTTTGTCAACCTATAGGATTTAGTACTTAATAAATATAATTAGCTAGATAAATATTACCGTTAGTTACTTTGTCTAGTTCGTTAAATATGCCAATGAAACTGGGAAATTAGTGTTCTTAGAGTTAACAAAAAAAAAGAAATTAGTGTTCTTAGATCAATAAAACTGGCCGTCAGATGATCTATTGACAAACACAACGATGTCGCAAGGATAAATAAACTTATGTAAAATGCATCACTATACCAATTGATGAAAATTAAATTACTTCGACTAAAGTATTACAAGAAAATGAAAATCATTTCAAACAAGTTTTTTTCTTTTTTTTTGTATATAGGTTTTTCTTTACGAAAGTTTTTATATAGTTCAATTTTCGATGGTGGTTTATGTTGAAACTGTTGGCTAATGGCTAAGATAATTATATAATTTGGTATATAATCAGCTAGCAGGTGTACGTGGACTGGTGAGAATGAGAGCAAGTGTGATGATCAGTGTTTTGGTTAATTTAATAGATACGTATTAATCAATGTCTTTTAAGCCAAATATAATTGATCTGATCCAACCCTTAAAGATTATATTTGTGTGCATCATAGGCCCTTCTTCTTTTAGAAAGTATGACATGTTTTTGATAATTGCTCTCACTATCTATCCATAGCAAGGGACATAAAGTGGAACCACTCAAATCATTTATATATACATACTATTTTACTTATACTACTATATATCTTATTAATTACTCGATCGAGGGACAAGAAACGATATGACTTCCTTAATTAATTTCATCTAGTATTTGTCTTCGACGACCCCCATTCTCTCAAATGATCAAATATTGCATTTTTTGGATTACAACTATATCTATATAGTTGCTATGTAGATGTGTGTTTTTTGATAAAAAAATATTTAGAACAATAAAAGAAAAATGGAAGATGATGAGATCGAATGTTAGAGAATTAAACCTAACTCTCAAGTCTCAATATCAGTCATCAGTTTTGTCCCACTTTCACTTTGGACAATTCTAGGATAGACTAATTATGAAGCCTGAATAATTAAATAATGATATGTTTTATAGTATTAATTATAGTCAATTGATGAGCTAGTTACATGTCTCTACGTGTCCGCTTGCGTGTTACCATACAAAGTTGAAAGAAAGTACAACGCAACACAAACCCATCAGATGCCATCGCTCCTTGGAACTCCCCACCGAATCTACTTTTCTTTTTATGGTTTTGTTTTACTATATTCTAATTAGATTTTCACACTTTTGTCCATAAGTTTTCCCAATGGGGATGGAACCATGCACCACGATATGTGTTTCGTCTGTTTGCTACTACTTTTAATAGTTAATACGACTACCATAACTAGTAGATAGGCTACTGAAAATTTAGTTCCGCAGATACATGTGATTGAAATACTAACATATCATTTGTACACATGAGAAAAATAAAGCAAATATGTTTTGAAAAATAATTGGCACATAAGCTAGCTGTTCACCCATTTTGTTCCTGGCATGTATAGTCGTGAGTCATCAATATACAGTAATGACTGAATATATATCTAATGTAGTTAAAGTACCATCTCATCTTTAATTAATAATTTATGAAACGGCATTAATGTGTGTGCATATGTCTCCATGATCCTGATTTTTACAAATAAAATATAATGTCTTGTTCATATATAGCTAGTATTTTTCAAAAACTGATCTTGCATGTTTATATATTTTCCTTTCATCACATAAACGAGATGTTAGGCTGTTATATAATGTTATACACTTAGCACAAACCGCTAATTAAGAAAGTAGAAACTATATATCTATATTCAATACATCATATTTGTTTCACCTAAGATGTTTAATTTATAAGTTATATATGTTATGATTTTTTAAATTTCTTATAGAGTAATTTAAGAATTGAAGGAATTTATCGAGTTTGCACAATATATATATCATCTAATTGTATATTATATGAATAGTACATGATTATTTAATGAAAAAAGGAAAACATTGCATATATCAGGTATTTATACGCCGTTCAATGTTCATCTTTTCCTGAAAAGAGGTGACCTAACTCCATTGGCACATAATTCGTCTTTAGAGACATGAGATCATCGATATCAAGATTTGAGATCTAGAGTCACGATCACCTTTAGTTAATTAAGATTCCACTAAATTAAATTCAGAACTGGTCAATGATGAACATGAACCCTCATCTCTTGGACCATGCATGCCTAACATATCCTTTTTTTCCCCTTTCGATAAACAATATTTTAACCTAATTTTGGCATTTATTCATGATTGAATGTTTGAAACCACGAACTACTTTTAGTTTTACCTAAAGTTATTTATTTACTTAAAGGTGAACAGTTATGAAAAATGAAGTAATTCAGATGATTAATTTAAACTTTTAATGCTTTACATCCATTTGAATATATATCATCTCCTAACTTTGATTATGTATTTATTTTTGGTTCCAGTTGAGCGTGTATAAACACATTATAATTACAAATCGGCCGCATGCACTATCTCTATCTGAATCCACATGTTCAAACATTGGTTTCTTGTCCTTTTGATAAATGCAATGCACATTTACTATTTGACATATTAAATCTTATACATAGTCTTCTTTCCGATTTTAAATAATTTATGAGCAAAATATCTAATTTTCTAGGCCAAAACCAGGGAGATCGAGTAAGAAAGTAGCAACACAAGACCAAGGGACAAAGTGATTATCAACTATTCAACTACTAATATAATACCTTGATTATACCAGATTCTGTGACCATTCCTTGTGATGTATAGGCCCAATTAATTATAAAAACTAGGTTTTAACCCGCGGTACACCGCGGGACGATTGTTTTGACTAAAAAATATATATATTTAAGTTATATTTGTTAATTTTATCATCTTTTTAGTGTTTAAGATTGTGTAACTGTATTTTTGATTGTTATTTTTATTACTTAACTTGTGGGATATTCTTTTGTAACTCGTGGGACTAAAAAATTATGTTTAAGTTATATTTTTTATTTTTTTGTTTTGCTAACCCGTAAGATAACCCATAAGAAAATATAAAACTCAAACCCGTTAAATCATATTTATGTAAAATATAAACCTTGAATGTTTTATAGATTTCGAGAGAAATTTTGGTTTTTGTTTTCCAAAAACTCATTTTTAACCAATCAAGATTTTAAAATTTTGGATTCCCTAAAATTTAGTAAAATTGTTTTTGTTGTAATCTTCCATTCAAGATTTTGGATTTTTAAGTTTTAGTCATATTTATAATGGTTCCGAACCATTATCTAAAATTTTCTACCCGATGTGGGACGTTAGACATATATGTTTTTTCTTTTATCGATTGAGTAATATATGTCCGTTTTCAAAAATTCAAATTGTTACATATGCGGATTTTTTTTTGTATTTTTATTATACTTATGTTTTATGTAATAATGTAATTTTTAAAACAAATAAGATCATATAAAGATATTGGAGAGATATTCAATTTATTAGGGAGATATTTTAGGAAATTTTGTTAAATGTAATAAATATTAAATTTATTAGGGAGACATTTTAGGAAATTTTGTTAAAAGTAATAAATATTAGTTTCTAATTTTGCGATTCTGGTGTAATTTAATTACAAAATTAATCTTATAAGTTTGTTATTCATTTAAATAACAAGAATTTATTATGCAAATAATATAAAATAAAAGGTTATTTTCCAAAAGATACTTCAAAAATGTTAATATAAATATCGAATTCGATTTGGCGATTACATCATCCTAATTGAACAAATCGATGATTTAGATAACGGTAGCCTTACATAATTGTTCTGTCTGACAAAACTTGCCGATCGTGTCAAATAAATAAATATTAGCCTCGATATTACATATAGTATAACTGAGAACTTAAAAGATTTCAATAACTATATACGAAAGTTTTTTTAAACATAAATTAATGTTCATTGTTCAATAACTATATACTTTCGAAATAAAGTGATGTGAGAAACGAATAGTAAGTGGTTCATGTCTTAAAGAAAGAAAGAAAAAGAAGCATGTGCAACGGGTGGGTGATAAGCGTATTCTAGACAAAGACACGCGTAGCAACCAAACACTTGTCATCCTCAGAGTCCCTATATAAACACCTCTCTTCACTACGTACGTATTCCTCAAATTAAAAGCTCCTCCTTCTATATATTAATCACATTCATCATTCATAAAAAGATAGAGATGGACGGTAGGGGCGGTTGTTGCATAGCCAGATATGGCGGTTACGGTCTCTCCAAAGCTGATCGAATCATGCTTCGCTTTCGTCCCATTGCTCCTAAACCCGCCGGTGGTGACGGGAGAAAATATGGTTCCACCTCAACCACGAGCGGCGGGAGCTCCGATATTTCCGGTAAATCTGGTAGACGGAAGAGAAAGTATCAGAAAAATAGTTCCTGCGGTAACTCTCGGAGGTGCATTAAGAAAAAGAGATATCTCGGCGGAGACGCTGTTACTACTGAGAAACGAGTTACGTTGTCACTTTTACCAGAGGCGCCTGAGAAACAAGTTTTTCCAGATCTGAATGCTTTCCCGGTGGAGAAGCAGAAGCCAAACGGTCCATTGTGGCTGAGCTTCAACGGCGGTATTGAGATGTTAGCGCCGTACAAGACGCCGGAGATATCACCAAGGACTGTGGTCGTCTCGTCGTGTGTGACGGTTGAGCGTGTGACTGACGCTTGGATCGATGGTTACGGATTAGGGCAAACAGATGACGAGAGGAAGACGAATCTTGTGAAAGACACGTGTCCTGGTTTCATATCGGACGGTTTAGGGAGAGTCACGTGGACCAATGAGGCGTACATGAAGATGGCTAGGGAAGATATTAATATTCCGATGGAGGAAGGTGTACCGGAGATTAGTTACGATAACGATAGTTTTCACGTGATCGTACGGTTGGTGATGAAGGAGATGCCGATGCTAACGTACCCGGCGTTCACATGCAGAGTTAGATTACAGTACACGTATCAAAACCGAGAAAGAGGATCTGTCACGGTGCCTTGTGACGTTTGGAGAATGGACGGCGGAGGTTTTGCGTGGAGGCTTGACATTAAGGCAGCTTTGTGTCTGTGACGTTCTTTCAGTAGCCGTCGTACGTTGTTGGATTCACAATTAATGAACGGTCCCGATAGTATTACGCATGATCTTCGTAGAACTAAAATATAGCAAGTGCTGAACTTTGTTTGTATAATTTTCACCTTGAACATTTGTTTCTGTTTTTTTTTTCTTTCTTAGATAGGATTATTTTATATAAAATGCTTTGTTGTTTCTATGAAATGCTCAATCGCTAATATCAAGTTTATGTTTTACTTTAAACTTAACACTTAGATTTTGATAATAAAGTATCGTTGTCACCTTTTTCCACATAATTCGTTTTCATGTCATTTTAAAGTTTCTTTACAAGCCCATACACAAACATCACGTAGAAACTATAATATATTTTACGAATGGGCTCTATCATGATATACATTAATGGGCCTTAGGGATTTTTCTAAGGGCCTCAAAATAAAAAGATTCACTGGCACGTGTTATTCAAACGCTATTAACAAGGCGCGTTAAGTGGATAAAATAGTCAAAATGGTAGAGACAATGTCGGTCCAGTAGCCGTGTCTATTCCACGCGCTCCAATACCACGTGTGCATTATTTTCCCTTAGCAATTTGGAAAACTTAAGATATTTTCTCATATAATTAGATTGCGCCATATCCTTTCACAGCCGTTCGATCGAAATCTGGACGGTAGAAAATAAACATATATTCTCAGCCGTTTAGATATTGGTTGGCTGTGTAATGAACGGCTTAGATTAGATTAAAGGCAGCGAGGTGATCATCTCTCCGGATCTATAAGTAGAGAAGCAAATTGGTTCGTTATTCTCCGTAAGTCTCTCTCTCTCCTCTCACTTCTTTCGTTATTAGATTTTTTGTTTTTGTTTTGGTTGGCATTGGAAGCGATATATGGAAGCTCTGGATCTAGGGTTTTCCAAATAGATTTTGGTAGTTCTTATTCTCTACTCAGTCGAGGGTTTTTCTAGGGTTTCAACCCCCAATTGACGTTGAGGAAGATATCTTCTCAGTGACTTTGATATTGATTTTGATCGAGGGAGAAAGAAGGAACTTAGACCAATTGCGAAATTTCATTTGGGTAAGCATACGTGTGCAATTCAGAGGAATCCATCATCGGATTTGATTTGGCAATCGCATCTTTGTGATTCTTTTTTCGGCGAATTGTGGTACTGGCTCGATAGCAAGGAGGGTTGACTGTGGAAAAGGATTGATTCTCATTGTTGAAGCTATCTGCAAGAATTTTTGGACCAGAATCAATAAAAGTATACTCGCTTGAATATTTTTTTAGTTCGTTCTGTATTCTAGTTCGAGTCTTTTAAAACCAAGAATTTGATGGCTGATATTAAATAATGGGTAAAGCACGGAAACACTCTGGAGTGAAATCATCGGGATTTGTTCCTGATTACTTGCAAATGGTTGAGCCTGATGACTTTGCTTACGCAGGCAGAATTGATTCTCAGATGAAACATTCAGAGGAGTCTCCTCCATTGAAAAGGAGACGTTTTGGTTTGAATGGAGATAGCCATGGTGTTCGCAAAGAGGTTTTGTCTTTGTCAACGATGTCGACATCTGAGAGAAAGAATTTAGTTCACAAGTTGAAGATGGAGCTTCAACAGGTCAGGGACCTTAGTAAGAAGATTGCATGTTTCAGTTCAGACACTGTGCTGTTGTCACCATACAACGATATTCAAAGTTGCAGTGATGGGCCTAAGAGGATGCCACCAGAAAACTTTGCTACATTTCCTGGGTCACAGGGGAAAAAGCGTCCTCCTGTACGCAATGATAAGCAGCGGACTAAGAAAGGTCCATCTCGATTAGATGTCCCAATAAGTTCTACACTTGCTTCAGTGATGAAGGAGTGTGAAACGTTACTCAATCGTTTGTGGTCACATAAATTGGGGTGGCCATTTCGTACTCCAGTTGATCCTGTGATGTTGAATATTCCAGACTATTTCACTGTGATCAAGCATCCAATGGATCTTGGAACGATACGAAGCAGGCTGCGTAAAGGTGAATATTCCAGTCCTTTGGACTTCGCAGCAGATGTGCGTCTTACATTTTCAAATTCTATAGCTTACAATCCACCAGGAAATCGGTATCATGTTATGGCCCAAGGCATCAGTAAATATTTTGAAACGGGATGGAAAAGTATAGAGAAAAAAATACATGTGACTAAACCACCAGTCATTCCTGTAACCAGTTCTGCATCTCTAGAGTCTGAAATCCCTTTTGAAGCTGCACCATTGAGAAAGAAAGCAGTGACGATGAACGAGAGCAAATTGAGGGTGGAACCGGTTAAGTTGGTCATGACAGATGGTGAGAAGAAAAAATTAAGCCAAGATTTGATGGCAGCAGAAGAAGATATCCCACAAAACATTGTTGATCTCCTGAGAGAGCAAAGTGGAAGTAATGGTCAATCTGGAGAAGTTGAGATTGAGATAGATATAGAAACGCTTTCTGATGACATCTTGTTCATGGTTCGTAAACTCCTGGATGACTATTTAAGGGAGAAAAATAAATCATTGGAAAAGAGCGAACCTTGTGAGATGGAGGTAAATAATTTCTCTGTTTACTTTTACTATTTTTTTGTGAGCTCTAGGAAATCGTTACATTGACTTTTGGTTTAACTTTTCTGTTACAGATCGTTCATGACTCTGGGTTCAGTAATTCGCCTCCGCAGCCTAGTAAAGGTAAGTTTCTGCTGTTTAATTTGATTTCAAAAATGGTTTCCTTCAGTAATCTGATGCACTCATAATCACAGGTGATCTGCAAATTGACGAGGATGTTGACATTATTGGTGGGAATGACCCCTCTGTTTCAAGCCATCCTCCCCTTAAGATAGAAAAAGATCCTGCATGTAGAAATAATGAAAGCAGCAGTTCAAGTAGCTCTAGTAGTGAATCAGGCTCTTCATCTAGTGGTTCGTGTTTATGCGAGCCTTCTTCTATTTCCATAGAATAATATATTTTTTCCTGTTAAATAGTGCACTGATTTGTACAGTATGTAAGAATAGCTAAGATTGGAAATAAAGTATCTTTTTTGTTGGAATGATTAGTAGTGAACTCCTGAGTCTTATTTTGTTCTCTGCTCTACCATGTGTGGTCATCCTCTTGTTGTAGAGGTTATTCTAGTTAGTTTCTGTGGTTTATCCTTTATGACAAAGGAATTAAGTTCTTACACTGTGGTTTGGAAAACAATAGAATTGATTCCTTTGATTAATTTCCCCCCTTAGGAAGCTGATGTTTCTGTAATTATCTTTCAGATTCTGGTTCTTGTAGTTCCTCTGGGAGTGAAACAGATTCCATTAAAGCTTCAAAACCTACAAGTAGAGAGGTATATTTAATAGTGGAATAAATTATTTTATAGAGTCTCTGTGTTGGATATTGCTTTAATTTCTCTGCAAGATTTATGATTTAAACTCAGCAAGATTTCCATGAACTATTTGCAATCACAAAAGTGAAATTTACTACAGAAGAATAAGTATAGCCTCCTTTAATTTAGGGTAAAAAGGAACCAGGAGTTGGATTAAACAGAAAGGAGGACGATAGCAACAATGAGAAGATAGTTGTAAATGGTTAGTCTCTTTTCAATTGATGTATGCAAGTTGGAATGCTCGGATAGAGAAGTCTTCCTGAATTTCATTCGTTATTCTCTGTAGATTCTTTGAATGAATTTGGTAAACTTGGGCATGCTGGTGGGGAAAAGTCGACCGTCATGGATACACTAGCTGTCTTTCCAGATGGTAAGAAATGAAAGTTAAAGTGGTCGGAGATGGTAATAGCTGTTTATTTCCAGATCATGATTTTATCTGTCATGCTTTGATATTATAGAGGAGACTGCTCCACCTGGGATGCAAATTTCCCCAGATAAGCGTTACCGTGCGGCTTTCTTGAAGAATCGTTTTGCTGATACCATTATGAAAGCTCGAGAGAAGGCTCTTACCAAGGTTGATTTTTTAAGTTGATCTACTACATGGCTGAAATGCTTGTCTCATTGTGGAACGCCTTAATGCTTTTTGATGCATTAAATTTCAGGGTGAAAAAGGGGATCCTGAAAAATTGAGGATAGAAAGAGAGGAGTTTGAAAAACGGCTAAAAGAAGGTTGGATTTTCCATCAAGTGTGCTTATGTACCTCATAATTTCTAACTACTTCTTGGTAGAATCATATTTTCTAACTACTAATTTGCTTATTGTTAATTCTTGCGAATTTTCCTGATTAGAAAAAGTACGGTTACAAGCCGAGGCCAAAACAGTTGAGGAGGCTAGGCGAAAAGCCAAAGCAGAAGCTGTAGAAAAAGCGAGGAAGGAAAGGGAGCAAGAGAGAGAAGCTGCACGTCAAGCTTTACAAAAGGTATAAAAGATTTTTCGTATTTCTCTTCTTTTATTCAGAGTCCTATCATGGTATACAATCATGAGAATTGACTTTTCTGGTCGGTTGCAGATGGAGAAGACAGTGGAGATAAACGAAGGCATACGGTTTATGGAAGACCTTCAGATGCTTAGATCCTCAGGTGCCGAGGGTAATCAATTACCAACTTCCATGGAAGAGAAGAGTCCTAATTGTAGTGAGGATATGTTGGGTAGTTTCAAGATGGAAGGCAGCAATAATCCATTGGCACATCTAGGTCTGTATATGAAAATGGATGATGATGAGGATGAAGAAGAAGACCTGCCTCACTTAAGCCAAAGAGAAGTAGAAGACCTTCTTGTTGACAGAAGTGAAAAACAGGAACTTAGTCCTCTCAGAGAAGAGAAAGAGGAACAACTTGTTAGCGGAAATGAAGAATTGGTCAGCCATAAGGCACGTGATGAAGGGAACCGAGAAAATGAAAAACCCATCAACAACTCAAATGAAAGAGAAGAACATGTGGGGAATGTGGCAGAACAAGAAAGTGAGGTTGTTGACAAGGAAGAGCAAGAACCTGAAGTAGTCGACATGAGAGAGCAAGAAAATGAAGTTGTTGACATGGGAGTGGAAGAAGAACATTCTCTCGACAGAAGTGAAGGACGTACACTAAGTCCTCACAGAAAAGAGGGAGAGGACCAACTCGTTAGCGAAGAAGTACAAGATCATGGGAACCAAGAAGATGAAAAACCCGAGAGAGAGGAACTAGTGGGGAATGTCCTGGAGCAAGAGAGTAGCTTTGATGACAAAGCAGGGCGAGAAACTGAAGTTTTCGACATGGGAGGGCGAGAAAATGAAGTTGTTGACAAGGGAGTAGAAGAAGAACCGCCCCTTGAGAGAAGTGAACAACAAATACTTAGTTCACACAGAGAAGAGGGAGAGGACCAGCGCGTTGGTGGAAATGAAGAACTGGTAAGACAAAAGATGCAAGATAATGAGAACCAAGAATATGAAAAACCCATCAACCAAAATGCAAGAAAAGAAAAAGTGGTGAATATGTCAGAGCAAGAAAGTAGAGTTACTGAAAAGGAAGAGCAAGAAACTGAAGTTGTCGGCATGGGAGAGCAGACAAGCGAAGTTGTCGAAAAGGGGGTGGAAGAAAATGAAGTTGGTGACAAGGGAGTGCAAGAAAATGAAGTTGTGGACAATGGATGGGAAGAAACTGAAGTTGTCGACAATGGAGAGGATGATGAAACTGAAGTTGTTTACAAGGGAGAGGGTAATGAAAGTAAAGTTGTCGACAAGGTAGCAGAGCAAAAAAATTACCTTGTGGATAAGGGAGATGAAGAAACAGAAGATATGGACGTAGAAATTGATTGATAAGTCTTTTGTTCGGGTCTTGTTAAAAGCAACATGAAGAAAAGAAAAAAGTGAGGGGGATGTTGCGCGTTGATTCTTATATGTGATATGGCGTAAAATGGGATAAAGCAAGCAAAAGAAAGGGAAAGCGATAGACATCGAGAAGACTTCCATACTAACATCACTATAGAAGGGAGAGGAGAGTCTGTTTTGCCTAGTTTTAAACCTGACTCTGTTGACAATGAATCTAAATTGATGAAGAACAAAACAATTTTGCTTACAGAAAGATAATGTCTAAAAGCTTGGTTTAACATTAAAGCAGCAAATTGAGTCTATGTTGAAATTTGTAAAGTTTTTAACTCTTTATGTACTGTACAAGAAAAGACTACTTCGTTCCGTTAAAACGAGACTCTTTCAGTCTTTCTTCTCTTTGTTAGTCGAAATCACATTTATTACTTATGAGTTCTGACCCCTATACTTTTTGATTGATCAACTGGACCCAAATTATCTGGATAAAGGGTAGGTATGTCATTTTACGTTGTCCTTATTAGATGAAGCAAAGGCAGTGAGAAGCTGAAACAAAGCGAGAAAATGGTGGGAGTCGCTGTGGTTAGTAAATGGACTCTCTGTGTCGCTTCGTCGTCGTTGTCTTCTTCGCCGCCGGCAAAATACTCGGCAAGTCTCAATCCACACTGTTCTACGGCTAAGGTTAACTTACGCACTGAGTTAGCGGCATTTCGTCCTCAGTTCCGTCTCTTCTCGCGCGATTCATCGTCTCGCCGCCGTATTCGCGCTTCCAGCTCCGCCAACTCCGGAATCTTCCTCCCTCACCTTGTCGCTTCTATGGTAGTGCTTTATCTTCACTAATGCGAAATACTTTGTATTTTTAGTTTGTTAGGTGTGGTATTTGTTTTCAAATTCACCGAGTCATGTTTGAACTACGAAATGAGGAACTTAAGATTCAAATTTGATGAACCTCATTGCAATTGACTGGGGTTTTGATCTTTATTACGTTGTTCTGTATTGTTTCAGGAGGATGTTGAGGAGACTTATATCATGGTTAAACCTGATGGTATACAACGAGGCCTTGTAAGCTATTTTACTACTCGTTTTTGAGGCAAATTATGGAGCTGTTGTGTGATAGGATGATGCTATTTTGGCTAACAAATTCCGTATTTGATGCTCTTAGGTTGGAGAAATCATCTCTCGTTTTGAGAAGAAGGGATTTAAACTAATTGGACTTAAGATGTTTCAGTGCCCAAAAGAATTGGCTGAGGTTTGATACTCTCATATTCACTTATGTAATTGATCATAACTTCACTGGTTCAATGAGGTTATTAGATGAATTAAATCCTTGAGAAGCCTTGAGAATATGAAGCCTAATCATGACTTTGTAGTTTATCTAATTGACAGAATAATCTTGTGTTGGCAGGAACATTACAAGGATCTTAGTGCTAAATCTTTCTTTCCTAGCCTGATTGAGTACATCACTTCAGGTCCAGTTGTGTGTATGGTACGGCTTATCAATAAACTCATATTTGATTTTCTCTCTGATTTTCAACTTGTAAATTAGTTTAGTTAATTGCTTTTGATGTTTTAAATCTTGTAAAGGCTTGGGAAGGTGTTGGTGTTGTTGCTTCAGCCAGGAAGCTGATAGGAAAAACAGATCCTCTCCAAGCTGAACCTGGTACTATAAGGGGTGATCTTGCTGTACAAACTGGAAGGTTGGACTCCTGTTACCTTTAAAAGTTGTTGAAAGTAAGCACTTAAGATGATTCTCATGGTGCATACATAACATTATGAAATTTGCAGGAACATTGTGCATGGTAGTGATAGTCCTGATAACGGCAAGCGTGAGATTGGTGAGATTTCTAGTTTCTTAAAAATTGTTCACCCATCTTTCACCATTGAGACATTGACTACGTCTAACTTAGTGGCATTAGTGAAATTTGGTTGAGTATTGAAATCAGCATGGTTTTTATTCGAATCTTCAAATAAACCGACCACATAACACGACACAAAGTGTTTGGATTCGCCAAATCATTAAAACTATGTCTATGGTTCTTCATTGTCTTAGTTTGGCCAAGTATTCTCATTCCTTAGTTTGTTAAACTTTTAGTTTTCATCTGGTGACATTTTGGTTATTGTGGTTTTGGTATAGCTCTGTGGTTCAAAGAAGGCGAGCTATGCGAGTGGGATTCAGCTCTAGCTTCATGGCTAAGGGAGTGATCATTAAGAAGACAGATTCAATTATAATGGTCTACAGTATCTTTACTCCTTTCTTGTTACTGAGAATGAGCTTTGGTCATTTTGTTCTTGATTTTGGCGGCAATGTGATAACTGCCAATTCATGGCTTATACTATTTCTTCTCATATCTTTGATCACTTTTCATGTAACCCAGTTGAGTTATAGATTCATACGTACAATTCGGTTCTTTGTTACAAAACAGAAAACATCTTGATTTATATATTCATCTGCATGTAGTTCAACGTTACAGAAACATCTCCAAAATCATTTTTCTTCACTCCTTACACTGAGCAATGTAAGTTTTTCTAAGGAAGTACACAAGCTAAGAACATCAAAAGAAACGAATGTGCAGACCTACAAGAGAGTGGCTTTACAAAATGCAGATGCGCATGATTGCGATTGTTCACATCACTGTACCGGAATAAGATTCCGGTTTGCTTCTAAGACCGGTTAGTATATGGAATCTCAATATCGTCAGGAGGAAGTTCCCAGTGATCGTCTTCTTCGTCTTCTCTGGAAACATTCCTGCTCTTGTGGGTTTCTGGAGTTGATTGTGGCTTTGTTTTAGGGTTTGGTCTCCTGTAATATCAAATCTATTGACTCACTCAACTTCTTCAAGTGTGTTTGAAAAAAAGACAAAAGTGAAAAAAGAATCTGACCTTTTCCGATACTTCTTAGCAGCTTCTTTGGTCTTACGCTTCTTCTTCTCCTGTGAGCTCTCGAAGAATCGTCGTCTTCGAGATTCCTGCAACACACCGGCTCTGAAACATGACCTCTTGAAATCGTTCACCAGCTGCTCCTCCGATTCGCCTTCCTTAGGCACCACCTCGACGTTGTAGTAGCCGGACTTGAAGAAGACGAGGTTCGCGTTCGCCAGCGAAGGATACGCCACGCGATTGGTGACGTCATCGTTACCGGCCGTTAAAATCTTCGTCGTCATCGACAAGTGCTGCAATGACGATCTCGCGGGTACGGAAGTCGGAAGCGTCATAGGTTTCAGAATCGACGGAGACGGTGGTTTCGACGAGAGAAGAGAGGAGAGGAGATCGGAGAGAGAAGCCATCGATTCTAGCGCCATTTCTTTCCCGTCTGAATAAGTGAACACTCCGGTCATTCTTATTGTATAATGTTTTTTAATTGTAGTAATTAGTTCACTAAGCAGAGTGGTTTAAGTTTTAAGTGAGTCTACTAATTTGGTTTCCGACTCACAAACGACGTCGTCTTAAGCATATAAACGAGACGAGTGAACTTTGATCTTCGAAGCTTCTCTCTGCTCTGTGTCTCTTTTTTTTTTGGTTCCTCTCGTTTCTTTTTGGGTGTAATTATGCTGAAAACGACGATTTCTCCAATTATTTTATCGTTCGCAGGTAAACCCAAGGCTTCGAGGTTTATTTTCCAAGCTTTTAATAAGGTTGTTCTTCAAGATACTACGCCAAGTGCTCGACGAAATGCGTCAACCAATCTTACCACGTTACATCAAGGTCCACCAACATCTGCATACGTTCATCTTCCGTTTTGTCGCAAACGCTGCCATTACTGTGACTTCCCAATCTTAGCTCTAGGCACGTCCTCTTCTTCTTCTAATGTCTACGAGGAAGGGAAAGAAGATGACCCACGTATCACAAACTATGTGGATCTGCTCGTTAGAGAGATAAAAGCTACAAGAACGGATTTTGATGCGAACCCGAATCTAGAGACTGTGTTTTTCGGAGGTGGGACGCCTTCTCTTGTTCCTCCTAAGCTTGTTTCTTTGGTTCTGGAAACTTTGACTTTGAATTTCGGGTTGACTCCAGATGCTGAGATATCAATGGAGATGGATCCAGGCACGTTTGATGGTCAGAAACTGAAGGAATTGATGGATTTGGGAGTGAACAGAGTGTCTTTAGGAGTTCAAGCATTTCAAGATGAGCTTTTGAAAGCTTGTGGGAGAGCTCATGGTGTCTCTCAAGTGTACGAGGCAATTGAGTTTGTTAAAGAATGTGGAGTTGAGAATTGGAGTATGGATCTTATATCTTCTTTGCCTCACCAGACGTTGGATATGTGGGAAGAGAGTTTGAGATTAGCTATCCAATCAAAGCCTAATCATGTCTCTGTATATGATCTCCAAGTGGAACAAGGCACAAAGTTTGGAAACTTGTAAGTATATTAATCGAAGTTTGCTTAAGTTTTTTTGAGTGTTACTTGAGCAGGAACGAATTGAGATCATGAACTTGTATAGGTACACTCCGGGACAATCCCCTCTTCCTTCAGAAACACAATCTGCAGAGTTTTATAAAACAGCATCATCGATGCTTCGTGGAGCAGGTTATGAGCATTATGAAGTCAGCAGTTACTCGAAAGGTGATTTCAAGTGCAAACACAACTTAATATACTGGAAGAACAAGCCGTTCTATGCTTTTGGGTTAGGTTCAGCTAGTTATGTTGGAGGGTTGAGGTTTTCGAGGCCAAGGAGGCTTAAGGAATACACAAACTACGTGGCTGACTTGGAGAATGGTGCAGCAAACTGGTGTGGAACCGGTGTTGTTGATCTCAAGGATGTTGCGACTGACATCGTAATGCTATCTTTCAGAACATCTAAAGGGCTTGATCTGAAGGAGTTCGGTGAAGCTTTTGGCAGTGAGGTAGTGAAATCGATCTGTAAAGTGTATGAGCCTTATGTGGAGAGTGGGCACATTGTTTGTTTGGATGATATGAGAAGAGAAGTGATGAGTGATGAAGTCAACACCTTAGTTGCAAGTGACGAGGCGAAGATTGAGAATCACGTGAGGTACCTTAGGCTGAAAGATCCAGATGGTTTCCTCCTCTCGAATGAGTTGATATCTCTAGCGTTTGGCGTGGTAGCTCCTTAAATTTTTGAAGCTACTAACAGAGAAAGGTTGTTTTTGTACATCCTTAGTTCCTTACTATGATAGATTGTGGTTCAAACTGTTTTTTTTCATTGATATGTATGAAGATTCGGTAAAATTACAGGGAAATTAATCACTAATCCTACTTCTGTGGACAACTGTTTCTACAAGCTTACATAAAAAATCATTTGTCTCCATTGGGATATCCATAGACAACCGTTATAACCACAAAGAAACAGAAACACTCTCTTCTGAGAATCCATAAGTTTCTGGCTTGAGAAGGAGAGTAATGCGGAAGATTTGTGATTCACCAAACCAATATCGATGAGCAGTCTGAAGATCACCTGTACAAAATGTTAAAGAAAGAGAAAGAGTAGCCCTTAGGAACTGAAAATGATTTGATATACCATAGCGAGATTCTCAGGCTGTCTAGAGAATGAAACTTGTACATATTTAATAAGCCAATGTTTGAGAGGATTACCATCTTATGATGGTTTTGGTTTCTTTCCACTTTTTATAATCCGACGCAACTCTTGTGTTCCACTTCTCTTTTCTCTGTTAAAGACAATAGAAACAACAAAGTGACCAAAAGGACTTTTTCAAGAACAAAGCAATGATGGAAATTAAAAGCAAGTAACATCATACGGTACCTCTGATGTAAGAAGACTAGAAGATAAAAGAGTGGGAGTAGCATCAAGGTCAATATTGAAATGGCGAGGTAGAAGACACCTGATCTCTTCTGCACGTATTAGCATAGCCAGATGTTAATGGTAAAAAGAATATATTTCTTTACTGGTTTCCACAAGAAACAGATAAGCATAGTATAAGAAGCAAATGAAAACAAATCTGCTTTCTTTCAGAAATCAGTAACATACTCATTTAGCACACAAAATGATTGTGAAGGTTTAAAAGATCTTACCTTGCCTCCTTTAGGAAACGGTTTATCTTTTCCAGTGCAGGTATGAGCATCACAGAATTGGCGCAAAAAGTGTTCTTCAGTCATAAAATATCAAAAGCAAAGAGGGTGATTTGGGCACATTTCAAGGAACGTATTTTAGAATTATCTAGTATTCAGTGAGCAAAGATTCACTTGGAAGGCCTCACAGTAAGGAAACATACCATGAAGACGGCTAGCTGCGGGACCTTGACTCACTGGGAAACAATTATTGGCAACGCTCTAGATAAACAAGAGAGGGCAGAACAAACGTAAAATCAGTATCGAAGTAGAGTATTAAGATGTCATGGATCCAGAGCAGAAAAATACAATTGAAATAGAACCCAGGAAAGCAACCTCGCAGAGATGACGGTTCTTGGCAACAGCAGCAGGGTTGCACTTGCTCTTTGGTTTCTTAGAGCTCAATACAAAGTCACAATGCAATGCACCACACAGGTCGGCCAAACACTTTGTATCCGTCTGAAACATTCAAACAGGTTTTCTAGTATCAGCTCAAGAGAGTTCCTTTGAAACGCAGAAGTCAGACAGAGAACTAAAAATCTAGCGATATCACAGCTAAGTGACTTTGTATATATCTAAAAATAAGAGACTTCCATACTGACATGTTATCCCAAAGATAAAAGAAAAAGAGACCAAGGTAAGAGAAACCGCAAACCGTATTCAAAAGATTATAATGTCTAGTGGCAAAATGCTTGTCAATAAACTTCTCCTCGTTGAAACTTTTCTTGCAGTAACCACATTTCCATTCGAAGACATCAACGTGAATCTTATGCAGTTCCTGATCTCTGTATAAATCATTATCAGGATGAAGCCTACAAGTCTTTGGAATTTGATATCCTCTCTCCCGTTCCACAAACGGCGTCAAATACTGCCAACCAAATATCCAAATTATGAGCAATCAAAAACCAAATTACTTTACCTAAAATCAACCAACTATAGGAAGTAGAAATTATATTCAATCAAAACTCATATATAATTGAATATGTAGAACTTACATCTTGAATAATCTGCCAAGCTGCTCGACTTCTTTCTCGGGAACAATGTATTTCTGGAGCACTACCTCCTACTTCTTCGTTAACCAATCTGAATTCCATGACAAGACAAACTCAGAAGCTGGAAATAATCTTACACAAACTAACTAATCAAGCAGTTGTTGAGAAAGTTTCTTGTTTTTTTAGTACAGGGGCAAGAGTTGAATTGGGATGCTCACCTAGTAGATTCAGATTCTTCCAACCCCTACAGAGAGAGCAAAAAACAACATAAACAATTCATTAACTATAGATCAGAAGAAGAAGAAGAAGAAGTGAATCGGTAAGTCTATGAATATAAGTGGGATCTTCAGATACCTGAGAGAGTGATTGATGAAGAAGAAGAAGAGCAAAGAGTAGAGGAATCACGGGAAGTGATTCGCCAAGTCTTCCCATCGAAGTAGCGAAGCGACACAATCTCATGTGCCGGGAAATCAATCTCTGCTAAAATTTCTATTTTGTGAATAATGTTTTTTTTTTTTTTTGGTTTTGGGTAGAAAGAAAAAAGCCAATTTATTTGGTAATGGGGTTATCACTGCATCCAAACAGATTGATTTGTAGACCCTCTAGGCCTAGGCCCAATATGACGCTCTACTTATACAACTATATTGGGCTTCTTTTTTTCTCATCAATTCGTGTGCTCTAGCTTCTACTTCTACTTTTTGGCAATTGATAAATTATTGTAATACATATGTTACCAAGTTATGTAATACATACAATGATTTGTACTAATGTAAATTTCAACGCACGTTATATATATTTAGGGATGGTTGACGGTTTTTAAATTATTTTTGTTTGAAAATAATTAATTTAGGTAGTACGGTTGGGGGAAATACGCGGGAAAGAAGAAGATGTGTTAATGTATAATGGAGCAAAAAAACAAAAAAAAAAAGTTTGATTTGGTTAATGCTGTTGTCAACGACGACGTGTTCCCCTCTTATGTTTCTCCCTTCATCTCCCTCTATATTACAACTTCATTTCCCTTCTCTCTCTTCCCACATTTCTCTCTCTCTCTAGATCTTGATATTTTCCTCTTGATTCGATCTCAACAATGGCGACGGTAAGAAGAAGAATCTCTTCAGACTTTACCCTTCATCATATGATGATCATCCTCATATAAAGTCTCTAGCTTTTCTTATCTCTAGTGAATGCTCTGTTTTCTGGTGCAGGAAAATAAAGGGAAGCCATTGCCAAAGTTTGGTGAATGGGATGTGAACAATCCCGCATCAGCCGAAGGCTTCACAGTCATTTTCAGCAAAGCTAGTGACGAGAAGAAGACCAAGAAAGCATCCGGCGCTGGCCCTAATAGTCTGGCTACACCTCAGAGAAACCATAACTCCGATCAAAACAATCACCTTGATTCCCAAAACCCAAAAGCTAAGGTAGTTTACTTTTTTCTCATCACATTAACATCTAGACGAGGCCAAAAAACCATTTAGTTTCCATAAAACTCAGTACCTGATCTATGTTTTCTGCGCAGAATAAATGGTTTTGCTTCCGTTAAATCCTGCCATCTTCTGAAGAATCCGAGTGGCATAGCGAAGCTGAAGAAGTTAGCAGAGAGAGATCTCAAACAAAGTGAAACGAAAGGGATTAACAGTTTAAAGACCATACTACACCTTCAGTTTTCTTTTTCTGTCTTCTGCTGATATTATACTTGTTCAGTATACTTTTTTGTTCCTTTCCTTTTATTTGCCTTGCCAACATTTTGCCCACACAATGGATATAAATTCTATCTTCTGACTCCATCTAAGAACTTGGTTTCTGATGGAAATAAGATTTTGAGACATAGTTCTTCTCAGACATAATGCTATCCTTCATATCGATGAAACAATATTATAATAAGGCATCTGTACAGCAGCCTTCCAATAGATTCAATCTCTTAAACCCTAACAAAATTTAACATTCGACGGTTCTGACAGGAGGTCACAATCTTAACTCTATAAGGTTAGATTGCGATTTTCGGTTTCAGAAAAGTGAAACACTTGTAAGAGACTAATGACACTGCACCAGACGATCATAGCAGAAACATGTGTCCTGACATAGAAGCAGGCATAACTATCTCGGTCAATATATAATGCCGTTTTTTGGTTCTAGCAATATTTATAAGATTTAGATATGAACAGAACCAGGCAAAATATCCAGGCAAAATATCCAGGCAATTATTTCATAGCAGAGCCACCAATGGAAGAGGTGCAAAACATAAACCACAACATGCTTCCATTAGACTGAACCTTAGAGTGAATGAGGAGATAGTTACAGTTAAAGCCAGAGAACAAAAATTATTCAGTGAGAATCCTGTAACAAGCATTGATTTGCCAGATAGATGTAGTTTAGAAACTATAATTTACCTAAATGTCATAAACTCCAAAACCAAAAGAAGAGTTTGATCCTAAGAACTGAAAAGCCTATGATGGTAAAGAAAAAAGCATCCCTTACGCAGGCTTCTGAACATGTGATGTCAATGCCAGCTATCATCTTCATTTCCATTGGCGCCAACTTGAGGAGCTTCTACGGTTAGGGAGCTGCTGGGCGAGAATGTAGGCGGTATGGAATGATCAAATCTACAAGCTGGACCAAATTTGCAGATGCCATATCGGCTGTAGTGTGTACACATGCTCTGATCCTGAAAGTATAAAAAAAGTAAAGGAAAAGGGGTTCAGACTGTGAAATAAGAGAAGGGATTTTGAAACAAATTCACCAAAAAGATCATGTTCTCAGTGGCTTCCTAATATTAGCAAAGATGAACAGCATGGATGGAGAAAAAACTCACAGGCCTTAGGGGCAAGCCCTTGTCATTGAAAGAGAATGGGGCTTGCTTCGGCAACCTATTCTTCGGATGATGATATTTGCATTTATATTTGAACTTACAGTCCCCAGTTTTAAGATAATAAGTGCACTCTGGTTGATCCGGACGTTCTGGGAATTCCTCAACAGGTATCTGCTGTTGGTATTGTGAGAATGAACTAGTTTCAGCTAATGAATTGTTCATCGAGTATGTGGAAGGAGGAAGCACACTCCTTTCTGGTGGATAGGCAGAAGACCCCTACACAGATGGAAAATGAAAACTTCAAAAGTAAGTATATAGTTTTATCTAGATAAAGAAAAAGAAAAAGGCATCAAAATAACTGATGCAAAAGCAGGGCTGGTATTAACTACCTGATACCCATTCCACTCTGAAGCTTGAGGTGAAGAAACTCCACGATTCTGAGGGAACATGGCTGGAATAAAAGGAGCAGTACCAGTACCGTTCATATGTCTCGATGACGACCAAGAAGTTGAGCTTACTTGGGGTGGTGGGGCCTTAGGGGAAAATGATCCAACGGATCCACCGTTATTGCCACGGAACAACGGTGAATCAACTCCTCCAATAGCCGTTGGATCAGGATGATTAAATTTGCAGTCAGATCCAAACTTGCAGGAGCCATTGCGCATGTAGAAAGGACATTCTTTCTCTCCCTGTCAATAGCTTACACTATTATAGCGTATCCATAAAGCTGTTGCAAACAGAATTCTAGAACGTGCAAACCAATTAATGGAATACCGGTCGGATAGGAAGGCCTAGGAAGTTAAGCTCTGGTCGTGAGGCCAGAGAAGTCTGTTCTTTCATGTGGCTGAATCTGCAAGACTCTCCATATTTGCACCCTCCAGTCCTGAAGTAGTACTGCAAACCCCGGAATTGGGGGACATAGGTAGGATATCAGATGACAGACTTTGAAAAGAAAAAGGGGAATAAAAGGAGAGAACAAACACATACAACACAAAGAAGAGAGGTTCAAGAGTGCACTCCCCATAGAAAGTGAGAGACTGATAGACTATGTCCATAAACCATGATAAAATATATATATGGATTTAAGATAAAGGTAACCACTTACCATCCACCTTTTACAAACCAAGCACCTAAAGCATCAAAGAATTTGCCATGCACAAAACAACAACCACACCAGAAAACTTCATTGTTCACTGTCTGGCATATACACAGTTCTTCCAACTAAGAAAGCTTTTGTAATAACAGCCTAAGACAACTACATGAGCCGACTAGCATACAAGTGTTAGATGTTTGAACGAACTATGAGCATAATAACATAAAGGATACACGATGAGAAAATAATGTAATCCTGCTACGTCATTACAGAGTAAAGGAAAAAAAATTAACCTTGCATTCCATCAGCTTCAGATTATCCACCTCCTCTTCCCTTTCCCTTGCTTTCTCCCTACCAATCTTCCAATAAACAAAACATTAGAATAGTGAAAAAGAGTTATAAGAAGATCATTTTCGTTTAAAGTAACTCCTTTTCCCTTTCTCGTTCATACCATTTCCCTTTCTCGTTCATTTACTTTCCCAAGAGAATTCAAATCCTAAACCAAAAAACCAGAGTAATAAAAAACGAAGCAAACTCAAAACTGATTGCACTCAAGTATGGCTAGAACAGCAATCCTAAATCAAGCTTTCCCCTTTTGGTCCAACAATAAATTAGACAAATGAATAAACATAAGACTGATACGCACATGCATAATTAATTATTTTTTCTCTTTTGCCTAAGTTGAACAGAACGCCCCGCAATTAAGAATCAGTGCCATGTCAGGAGAGCAAACAAAATCTGAAATTTTGTGTCAGAATTTGAAAAATTTTAAACATGCAAAGATGATCAGTAAAAGAAAAGTACTTGAAGTCTCCTTCGAGCAGGGTGATTGAACTTGCAACTTGATCCATATTTGCAGCTCCCCGTTCTCATATAAAACGAACAATCCTCTGCATCAGGTCTCACTGGGTACACAATCATTCTCCTCTCGACGGAACTCTCACGCTCGCTCTCATCTTCTTCCTCCTTCTGATCGCTGCCTAACGCCCTCGAATCCGTTTCTACATTACCCTCATAGCCACTAATTGGCACACTCAGCTCATTCGCAGAATCATCCAAACCCACATTTTTGAATTGATCACTTAGCTCCTCAGAAACCTGATTGAGATCAGAATGATCCCCATCGGCGACGGTGACGGTGGCCTCATCGGAGGAAGATCGAGACGGTGGTTTCGGATCCGGGACGGATGGATTCGGGTCGGAAATTTCTTCAGGCTTGCTCATGATTTACTCAGAACCACATTACAATTTTACAGAAATCCCTAAATTTCAACCGAGAAGAGAAGATCAAATCAAAAAAAATCAAAAAAAAAAAGGTAAAGAAACAAAAGGAAGACCGAAGACGAAGAAGAAGAAAAAGAACAAATCAAAGTTTTAACTTTTTTTTATCACGTTTTTTGGATTATGGGGGTATTTTTGTCATTTTATGTAAAAGCGACACGAGTGAGAGAATTGGAGTGAAACTGTGTACCCAACGTGTAATAACTGATACTTTAGTTTAAACGCATATATTCTATTTAAAATTGCAAGTACAACCCTGAAGTTGTCTCATGACTCACATCTCTCTTAACATTATTATGATATTTTTGAAATTCGATACTATAGTTTGTAATGTTTAGAAATAGTGCCTATGTAATAAGTCTTGTTGGGGAAAATGTTGTAATGTTTCCTTAATTGGAAGATTGGTAGGGATAAAGTTAGAGAAAGGGAAGAGAATGTGGAGAATCCGGTAAAAACAATTTCAGGTAAGTTTCACAAATTATTCTCCGATATGTAAGAATCAATCGAAAATTCGTTGGAATATCGTCAAAAACTAATATTGTATTTTATGCAAGTGTTAGATGTGTCAAGCATCAAAAACATATTGTCTATAGTTTTTTGCCATGTTTCTGATTTAGTCAAGATGATCGATATCCTATTAAAGAAAAAAACAAATTTCCTTAAATGATCCATTATATTCCATTAGATTATATTTTATACCTCTTAAATTTTATTCATAAGTCAACACAAAATTAAATGAAATTTAATATAATTTTTGTTTTTGGTATGTTATACAAAGCTTTTTGACTTCCTAATGTCCAAAAATGTACTGTATACAAACACCAATACATGCATATCCAAAATAATCACCCTTTGAACAGATAATTCAACCAAAAATAAATGAAATTTAATTAAAAAATAGGAATTTTTGGTAAGTTATTACAAAGCCTTTTGACTTTTCTTTCTAATGTCCAAAATTTTACAGTATATAATAAACACAAACACATTAGCCAAAGTAATCACTCTTTCACCACCTCTCTTTTATCAATTGAATCCACCATCTATCTACAAGCAACAATGGTGGCAGAAACAAGGACAATGTCTCGATCATTGACGTTCTTCTTCTTCCTCCTCTTATCCGTATCCGTGACGGCCACACTAAGAAACCTCTCGCGGGCAGCTGAAAACAAAGGAGTATGGTGTGTGGCGAGTGAGAAAGCGACAGATGAGCAGCTACAGTCAGATATAGACTGGTTGTGCAGCGACGAGGGAGGATTCCGTGATTGTACACCGATCAGTCCTGGTGGAGTTTGCTATGAACCAAATACGCTAAGAGACCACGCGTCGTATGTAATGAACTCGTACTATCAGGAACTTGGTAGAACCAAAGCACAATGCACTTTCAGCGGTACTGGCACTACAGTTCATACAGACCCAAGCCATGGCGCCTGCGTATACGTATCTTATTAATATATCCATGCATGTGTATGGAACTTGTTAGCTCGAAGCCCCGAATAAGTTGAAAATGATATACATCAAATTTAATTTATTTTTTTTTTGAATAAAATGTAAAATTTATTCGAAAAAATCGTTTTTACATCAAATTTAATTTCAATACTATCTATCTAAGTTATTCTAAAAGTTATGGTCAAAATAATTCTCTGCTTTTAGTTAAGTGTTATTGGCAAGAGACTATATATGGTCTGATCTTCTGAGTCGTGAAACTTTAATGAACAACCAAAAATACTCTAAAACCCAAATAATGTGAAGTGTGGGATTAATGGTTATTGACCTCATTAAGGCGAAATCCAACTCGAGATGAATATCATGAAATAGTTGTTGTTTTTTTTTTGGGCCAAGAATGTAAATATTTTATTAATAATGAAATAGCTAGGAGTTAAAATGAATTAAAATTTATAGATTGGTAAAAAAAGTTAAGAAAAAAATATATAGAAGCAAAAAATAATCAGTCTATTGACAAAAGCAGCAGTGATGTTTTTGAAATCGATGAAGTAATAAACATAATCAGACTATAAACATCGACAAAGAAGATTCACCGAGATGATACATCAAGGAGAAGAAAACCACGATGAAAACGAAGATGTGGAATCTTCAAACTAGACCGTGAAAGAACTAGAACCTTGAAAGTACTACAGAGATATAGAAATTTCTTCAAACTTGGTTTTATTAGCAAATCTTCAAACAACTCTTTTACAAGCTTGTTTGATCAGCTTTACCCAAACTCACCCACTGTGATTTGGCCCTGATCGATTCCTAATCTACCCAACTTACAAGCACAGCTACAGCTATGCACACTCTTTTGTTCACTCACCAAAAGAACCCAAATCAAGCCTTAGCTCGAATCTCAGACTTGAACTCAAATAACTCTCACACTTTTTTCTCTTAAAAGTGCTAACCATAATAAGAAGAAAGCTCTCTTCTTATATATGCAACAGAACAACTCGCAGCTCCTCTCTTTATCCAGCAGACACTGCGCAGCTTCTTGTCATGATGTTGGCTTCGCTAGCTCCCCAGTAGCCAACAACTACCTTTTCAACTGACACCTTTCCATGCTTTCCTGCACTGGTTGTCACTTCAACACTTTGACTTTAATACCACCACTGGGCGCCGAACCTGCTCCTCCTCATTATGATAAAAGTGTTGTGATGTCACCCACTGCCACGCTGGCATAATGCTTCTTCAGATTCTTCTGAACATCATACAGGATCTGCTATGTTGGACCTTCAGACACTCTGTTTCTTCAATCTCCCCGTTTTTATCTGAATGTATGCCTCAAGCTTCCTGCAAGCACTAAGAACCACACACACCCAAACAACCAAGGCAAACACAAGTATATACACACCGCACAGATTTTAGCAAACATAATATCACATCATTTTTAAACAAGTTCAACAGTCAGATCGTAAACAGACTGAACCAAAAGGAAACAACAACAATATCCGATGAGATTCCGATAACACCCTACAGAGTACAGACTAAAAACCAGCTCCTAAGTCCTACTCATCCCTCTACTGAGATCAAATACTTAGATTTAGCCACTTTGACTTTCATCCGCTTCTCCTTCATCGTCGGAAACCCCAGGTTCTGTCTCCCCCTGAAACTGTTGCGACCTTGGTTGCGGAACAACATCCACATATTCTCCCCCTGCTTGAGTGCATATATTCATATAAAAACAGACTTTTAGAAACAGAGAGACACAGGAGAGACTGGAGAAAACTTACCTTCAAGCCGTTGAAGCATGGTCTGAGTAAACTCATGGAGATGCTGAAGATCGGCAGTTAGCGTGTTTTCTGCAGCAGAGTGAGAAGTCCTTGGTGGGAGCATCTCTTTGGGTTCAATCCGAAACTTAGCAGGAGCAGCAGAGGAAACATCACCCTGAGCAGAAGGAACAATACGCTGAAACCGCAGCAGTTGATCAATCAGATTTGGGAGGACCAGCCGAAGATTGGAGGACTCATTCATGACAACAGACGAGCAAGCTCGAATTTCATCAAATGCTAACTTCCCAAAGTTAACGGGACGACCCTTCACAACCATGAACAGCAGGGACGAGCGTTCAGCTTTTAGAGCATTAAGATTCACTGTTGGCATCCAGTTTTGGCAGCAGATCTTGTGGAGCAGAGACATTGCATCACCCATTCCTCTCTTAGAGCGTCGCTTCCAATCGCGAATTCTACCATCGGTGAGAAGAGACACGACTTGATTCAAGGATTCAGAGATGTGAATTTGCGAGCCTTCTGAAGGATAAGGTGGAGAGGGTAACTGATACAGCTGATTGATGATCATAGGAGAGAACTCATAGAGTGATCCTCGCACAAAGACTTTTAGAACCTCAGGGTCATCATTCTCAGCTTCCGGAAGATTAGCATAAAACTCCTTTACGACGTTTTCAGTGAATGAATCGGCTTCAATGGCAGTGGGAAGAAGACTTACAGTAGACATAATCTTGGACACTTCATCCCACTGAGGGCAGTCATCCAACAGGATTCCCATTTCATTGAAAATCCGACCAGTTGAATCTTGTCTTTTGGAGAGGACCTGAAATCGGTGCTCTGCTTGAGGAGAGACGAAGTGAGAGGAGAACGGAACAGTGGAAGGAGTTTTCAGCTCTGGATAATTTCTATCCCGACCAGCCACAAGACGCTGATTAGTTACATATCGAGTTAAGAACGACGACGGATCCACTTCTTCCACATCGGAGTCACTCAGATCTGGTTTGCGATGAGGTTGAGCAGCTGTAATCTCTTCAACGTCTTCAGTTTCCCGAAACGATGGCCGGGCAGCAGCGAGATGAGGAAGTCGTCGAGACGGAATTGTAGAAGCTTTTGCCTTGGCCTTAGAAGTCGAGCCTCTGGTACACTGTTTCTTCCTTGGAGGTTGAGAAGTGACTTTCGGATTCACTTTGTTCGAGACTTCTGGTTCGATCTTAGGAATTCGATGGAGAGGTGCTGTACCAGATACAGTAGCAGCGGAAGAGTTTTCAGCACCTTCATTACCAACCTTTTCTTCATGCAGAGGAGCGATAGGATCTTCGTTCTCCATTGAAGCTGTTTTGAATCTTCTGATTCGCTGAGAGAACAGAAACAAGAGATCGAACTGAAAGAGGAAAGAGATGAAGAGTGGAAATGCGAACAGTCTCGAGAACGGGTTAGGGTTTCACTCCTTTTACTTTCCCTCTTCTTTTGGTGCGAATCTCGAAGATGGGAAACTGAAATCACTTAACACTTCAGGTTAAAACGAGCAATATGGCCCAAGGCCCAAACAGTAAAAAGATATTACCCAAAGACACACTTGCCAACGAATCATTAAAAAGAAGGAGCCCAGTTGGACAAAAAATCTAGACTTAACATAATGGATTAAGAAAACACAGCACATCAACTAAGACACTGACAGAGACAACCACGGCTAATCCAAGAACTGTCGAGAAAATACAGACAAATTTGAAAATATATATATATATATATATATATATATATATATATATATGATCCAGAAAAGATTTTTATTTTATTTTATTTTTTTTTTATTTTAAAGAGATAGGATACACACCTGAGACATGTTCCAATGATCATACAGAGATTCCTTTGTACACAGGTGCATAGCTCAGAGGAGTGAACCAGAAAAAAAACATTCAAAGAGACAAAAACAGAGAGACTCAGTTGCCTAGCATAGTGGGGTGACTAACTTACCCACAAATCTTGTTCAGGCTAGACTACATTTCTCATACTTCCTTAGACAGGTATTATCTTCAAGATGTGGAGAGCTGCTCTCACGGCGAGGGGGGTGATGAAGATAGAGGGATCCATTGACTTCCTTTTTTTTCTTTTTTTTTTAAGAAACACTCTTGTTACTTATATACATGAATGTACCACAGAGTAGAGATAGAACCATCACCCCTTTCCTGCCTACACTTTTCTGGAGATTTTCTTTTTTTTACAGTCATTACACACTCGTATTGGATTTTCTTTCATCTAGAAGCATGAGAAATAGCTGTTTTCCTGAAAAGAATTGCTAGACAAAAGTTTTATGCAAACAAAAACGAAAAGACAAAGTGAGTTCTCAGAAGAGCAGTAAGCTATGCAACTCTGTACAAAGGAACCTGTTGCATGAGCTTCAGAAACAAGTAGCATCAGTGGTCACACATTCCAATTGAATTTTTAAAGTTACTAAAACTAATAAAATTCAAAGGTTTTGTGAAGAGTTTTGCAATCTGATTTTCTGAAGAGACATAAGACATTTGAATAGTCTTGTTTGCAATAAGTTCTTGGACAACATGGTGCCTAATATCAATATGCTTATCAAGTTCATGATGAGTGATGTCTTTCAAGGCATTTATGCAATCAGGTTTGTCACTGAAAATAGATATGGAAGGGACAACAATACCATAGTCAAATAGCAATTGCTTTATCCACACCAGTTGTGTGTAGCAGTTTCCGAAAGCATCAATCTGAGCTTCTCCTGTACTTCTGGCAATGTATCTCTGTTTTTTGCTGTACCATGATATAAGATTGTTTCCCATCATGAGACATCCACCTGAGATACTTTTTCCATCGTCTCGATTTCCTGCCCAGTCTGAATCACAAAAACTTGCAAGACTTTGATTAGTATCTTTAGAATAAAACAGACCAAGACTTGTTGTACCTTTCACATAGGTTAGGATGCGTCTTGCAGCATGAAAGTGAGACATTCTTGGATCTTCTAGGTATCTAGCACAGACTCCCACACTGAAACTTATATCAGGTCTTGTTGCAGTCAACTGGAGTAAACCAGACATCATTTCCTCATAGAGCTCAGCATCAGTCCTTTCTTCATGTTCACTTCTGGACATTCTCAGATCAGTTCCCATGCGAGTTGGAGATTCTCTATTCATTTGAACTTCAAGTTTCCTGAGAATGTTCTTTGCAGCTGATTCTTGAGAAATGTAGATTCCACCATTGGTCTGTTTAATCTGAAGACCGAGACAGTATGTCATCTCACCCACCATGACCATTTCAAACTTTCTTTTCATCATTTCCACAAAGTTGAAGGCCAGCTCATTTCTTGTGCTTCCAAACACGATATTGTGATCAAAGGTTTGAACTATAAGTAAGTTCATATCCCTTTTTAGCACAAACAGAGTTTTGTCAGCATTACCTCTTTCAAATCCATGTTCAGTGAGAAACTCAGTAAGTTTTCTGTACCAGCCATACGGAGCTTGTTTCAATCCACATAAATCCTGTTTGAGTTTGTAGACATACTCTGGGAAAATTGGATTTTTGAACCCTTTTGGTTGAGTCACATAGATCTCATCACGGCTGTCACAGAAGGTTGAACTTCCAAAGAATCCCAGCTGGAATAGTCTGATGTTCAGAGAACACGCGACTCCTATCATTAGACGAACACATTCTAGGCGTTCAGTCAGATCAAAACTTCTATCAATGTCAGCTCTCATCTCATGACAATGTTCTTGAGTGATGACATATGCCATATTCTGAATGACATTTCCTTCTTCATCTCTTATATTTTTGAATACCCAAAATGTCTCCATGACTTGAGCATGAGTTGGGCTTTGCACTAAGTCCCATACGCCATTTCTTGTGAGTTGATCTATTTCATCATTGCAAGCAGCAACCCATGACTCATCTTCTAAAGCACTAGCCACATCTTCAGGTTCGACTTTAGATATGAAGCATTCATACACTTGTGTGTCTTTGAGATGTTTCCCATTACTCTCACCAGATACACCACGAGTATCATCACAGCCTTCATCAAGCTGAACGTCTTTTAGTAATAATTCTTCAGTGATCATACCTGTTTTGGTTTCTGAGTCAGCCCTATCGTTGTTGATGCAGTTGAGACCATTTTGATGACGATTTCCTTCTATTGAGTCCTTAGAAGGTACCCATATGTAACAGTTGTTTCTTGAACGAACCCCTGTTAGCACCTCAACTCCTCTATTGTTGACCGCATAACAGCCTTTTTCATTAAATGTGACTTGGAAGCCATCATCACACAGTTGACTGATGCTTATAAGATTTGCTGTTAGCCCTTCAACACAGTAGACATCCTTCAGACATGGCTGATCAGTCTTGCTTATCTTACCCTTTCCTTTGACGAATCCTTGTTTTCCATCTCCAAAAATGACATTTCCACTTGGTATCTCTTTAAACTCAGATACCATACTTTGATCACCTGTCATATGTCTTGAGCATCCACTGTCGAAATACCAGGAATTTTCACCAAGAACTTCTATTGGGAGTTTGACCACTGGGAATTGCCTGTCATTAGTTGACTCTTCAGCAGTGCCCATACAACACATCAGCTCAATATTCACAGTTTCTTCATTATGTTGAACGTTCGATGATGTTATAGTACTAGAGAAGGAGTAAACTTCCTCTTCTGCTGAGAGCATAGCTTCAATGTGCAGATTTGACCTTTCCATTTTAAGATCTCCATATAGATCTTTCTTAGCAACCCAGACGCAGTTGTACTTGGATGGTTCTAAGAAGCATTTGTTGAGAGCCCACAACACAGAACTTCTTTCTTTGAACTTATAGCAGTATTTTCTTTGATGACTCTTTCCTCCGCAATGACCACAACCATAGACCCTTTTTATGTTTGGTCTCTTGAAACTCTTCTTTCGAGCCTTGTCCCGTTCTGTTTTCTCCATGACATCTTCTTGTTTAGATGTTTCTTTTGGAGTTATGACTGAACCATCTTTCTCTTTTAAAATTCCTCCACTGACGAATTTGATGGAGAGATCTTCAGATATACCCGAGTAAGGAGTATGGCCATGATATCCCAAACCTCTATGGATAGATTCAGTTCTTCCCATAGTGAGAATTGTATCCAGCTTACCCGAGCCATTATTAAGCATTCTAATTTGCTTATGTTTGGAGTTCAATTCCTGTTCAAGGCCATCAGCTTTCTCCTTTTCTTTGTAGTATTCTTCTTGAATGAACTTGATCTTTTCTAACAATATCTCAGCAGACTGTTCAGGGGACAGGACAAGTGCTTCTTCTTGTGAATCATCCTTCTCGTAGCAACTTTCCAATTTGGCTTGTAGAGACAGCTTCTGTTGAGTTAACTCCAGTTTATCCTTACTAAGTTGAACCCAGCTGTCATACAGTATTCTGTATTCTTGCTTAGCATCAACTTCATCTCCACTCTCCGAGTCAGAGTCAGAGTTAGCAGTTTTATCAGTTTTGGCTGTGAATGCAACAAAGTTCAGAAGCTCTTCTTCTTCTTCTTCTTCAGGTTCTGAGTCACTGAAGCTTAGGAAGGCTTTCTCCTTTTCTTTGTGCTTGTTGGGGCATTCAAACTTAGTATGACCCTTTCCTTTGCATTCCAGACACTTGAGATCATTTCGTTTTGTAACAGGACATTCAGGTTTGATATGACCAAATCCTCCGCATTCATAGCACTGGATTTCTTTTCTCTTTCCAGCATGATCATTTTCAGATTTGTACCCCCTACCACCAGACTTGTCCTTTTCTGCAGTGTTCCAGCGTTTGCCATCTCTTGCACCATTTCTTTCCACTCTCATCAGAGCTTTGCCGAAGTTTCTAGCCAGTAAAGACATGGTATCCTTGATCTCCTGAATTTGATCCACTTCTTGCTCAGCCTGAAAAGCAATGCTTTTTCGAACCTTGACTTGGTCTTCCTCATTTTCCATTTCTTCAGACTTCAGAATTCCAACCAATTCAACAAAGGTCATGGAGTCAGTATTACCTGCAACTCTCATTACGGCTTTGTGAGCAGCAAACTTAGCTGGAAGGCACCTCAGTAACTTCTTCACAAGCTTCTGATCTTTATACGTCTTTCCAAGAACTTCAGCCTCATTTGCAACGGCACTTATCTTTGAGCTAAATTTAACAATGGTCTCGTCTGGTTCCATCTTAAGACATTCAAACTGAGTGGCTAAAAGATCTAGTCTAGTATGCTTAACACTCGTCGTACCTTCATGAGACTTCTGAAGAATATCCCAAGCCTGCTTAGCTGACTTGCATCCTTGAATGAGTTTAAACTTATCTTCATCAACACCACTGAAGATGGCATTCATGGCCCTCGCATTGAATTTTGACAGATTCTTTTCTTCGGTAGTCCAACTAGACTTTGGTTTAGGTATTTTATCTCCTGCTTCTGTCTGCTCAAATGGAGGTTCCCACCCTTCTTCAACCGCTGTCCATGCATCTTCACCTTGACCTCTGATGAGTTGTGTCATTCGGACTTTCCAGTAGCCATACCTCTTTGTATCAAGCATGATGTTCTTGCTTGTACCCGCACCATCAGTAGTAGGTTCCATCGTTCAGGATCTAACCTGTTAGGAGACGAGAAAATCTCACAGATCGGTTTCCCGCTCTGATACCAATTGAAAGAACTAGAACCTTGAAAGTACTACAGAGATATAGAAATTTCTTCAAACTTGGTTTTATTAGCAAATCTTCAAACAACTCTTTTACAAGCTTGTTTGATCAGCTTTACCCAAACTCACCCACTGTGATTTGGCCCTGATCGATTCCTAATCTACCCAACTTACAAGCACAGCTACAGCTATGCACACTCTTTTGTTCACTCACCAAAAGAACCCAAATCAAGCCTTAGCTCGAATCTCAGACTTGAACTCAAATAACTCTCACACTTTTTTCTCTTAAAAGTGCTAACCATAATAAGAAGAAAGCTCTCTTCTTATATAGGCAACAGAACAACTCGCAGCTCCTCTCTTTATCCAGCAGACACTGCGCAGCTTCTTGTCATGATGTTGGCTTCGCTAGCTCCCCAGTAGCCAACAACAACTACCTTTTCAACTGACACCTTTCCATGCTTTCCTGCACTGGTTGTCACTTCAACACTTTGACTTTAATACCACCACTGGGCGCCGAACCTGCTCCTCCTCATTATGATAAAAGTGTTGTGTTGTCACCCACTGCCACGCTGGCATAATGCTTTTTCAGATTCTTCTGAACATCATACAGGATCTGCTATGTTGGACCTTCAGACACTCTGTTTCTTCAGACCGAAGATCAGAGTAGTCCTATGGAAAGCTAGCTGTGGCTTAGCTATTGGAGACAAGTGGATTGAAAGTTGAATTACATTGTCAGCTTCGTGGAGGTGATGAAGAAAGTGTAAATTATATACAAGTAGATTTTTCTTTGTTTGAAAATGACATTTTCTTAAATGGTTCATTAAACTATAATAGATTTGTCTGTACTTTTTTAGTTTTCATTCATAACATAAAACAAACTAAAGAAAATGTACTAGTATAATTATGATCGATCCATATACTACAAGGAAATACAAACAACTTAAATGAGAAAATACATATCTTTGAATAAGTTAGTATACAAACATATACTATAGTTTTTATTTCGGGTATATATATAGGTGTGTAGAAAACTTGTAAGGCCGAAACTCCAGTTAAATAAGCTGAAAACGATCTATACATTAATGTTCTCTAATCATTACAAAAGTGTTTAACAATGTTGTTAGAATGAACATGTAGATTACAAATTCTAGTAAAATACATTATATATAGTGAAAACAATTAATAAGTCTTAATGTTTTGGTGAACATATTTGCAAATTTTCTATATGCATGGTCGGCGTAAGCTAGAGATACGGCATGGTAGAATATTGCTTTGACAAGTCTAATCAAAAGCACTGTCCATCTCAAGGTTCTAAATATTATACAAAGACTTTCATCATCATCAAATCTCTCATACACCTTTAATATAGCTAGAACTTACTGAAACCTCTCTTTTACAAAAGAGAAAGAAAATGAGAAATTGAAGATATCAAATTTACATCCCCTAAATAGTTATTCACCTAATATATATCATATATGCTTTTTATATAAAAAAATAGATTCAGAAGTGAATACAGATATCTACAATATATAGAATGTAAATTGTGTAATATAGCAAAAGATCTTACAAACAAAATATTATAGTCAGAATGTCATAATATTTTTAGTGGAGTAATATATTGTGATGTGTTTTTATTTATTTTGTTTATTATATCTTCTAATTATAATTTTGATTAATTTATTTAATGAATATCGTCTCAAATTTATTTCTCAAATACAAGTAAAAAGTTAATATACTTGCACAAGACAAGTAGAGAGAATACACATAGAAAAAGTTGTTGATTCCTCTTCTAGCTCAGTCTCCTTTGAGTCTCTTCCCAAATAAGTGCAAAAGTATTCTCACACGAGAGAGAATCAGTCAAATTAGTAGTTTTGTATATTTTCCAATCTTGAAAATTCTTTTGTATATTTTCCACTCTTGAAAATTCGTTTGTATATTTTCCATGTACTTGCAACGAAAACTTGACTCAAATACATAGATTTATTCTTCCATAATCACATCCTTTGTTATCTTCGGTTATGCACTCATAGATTTGTTCTCCATGGCATCTCTCTATATAAGGGCCTTGTAAGCACATTCGAATGATATAATACGTATACACAACTACATTCTTACAAAACAAAACAACAACCATCAAAATTTCTTGATTTTTCTTTTTCTTTTTTTCGTTGCCAATGTCTTCACAGCTTTTAACACTCTTTCTCCTTCTAGCTGCTGTGGCGATCCCTGTCGTGACAAGCAACAGGCAATGGTGTATAGCGATGTCAACTGCGACAGACGAACAATTACAAGCTAATATTGATTATGCTTGTAGCCAGAATGTTGACTGTTCACCAATCCAACCCGGTGGAGATTGCTTTAATCCTAATACTTTATTCGACCATGCGTCATATGTGATGAACGCTTATTATCAAAATCATGGTCGTGTCGATCAAGGTTGTGGGTTCCAGCATACTGGTTGCTTTGTTTTTGCTGATCCGAGTAACGGCTCATGTGTCTACTACACTTAAAAAGAAGTTTGTTTTTTCTTTTAATTTCCTCTTCTTTATACTACAGTGCTTTGTGTGCTGATTACGTATCTTCAGATTGTTGTATCCCCAAACTAAAGATAAATAATACAATTGAGAGGGTTCAAGAAAAAGAATGTATTTAAGATTCAAATTTCGTAGTGGTAGAGTAGTGTCAATAATGTTGAAACATGTCAAGCATATATAACAAACAAAATACTAGTCGATACTATATGATAGATATATTAATACCAAGAAGAAATTGTTAATTATTGGTTCAGTTTTATGTGTTTTAATCTCTTCTGATATCTGAACTTTCGAGTGGTTTGTATATCTCTCTTACCATCTTTGAAATCGTTGTACAGAGATGGTCTACACAAAAACAAAGTTATTTTGTAAAATTCCTATGTTCACAATTTTTTTAACAAAAAAAAAAAGCTTATATTTTTAGTTGATTATAATTTTTTTCTAGATCAACTCTTCTTCTTTTTCCCCTTTTCTTTTCTACAAACAATATAATATTACGCGTCAATATGCAGCAAAGTACTTGTTGAGGTGTATTCGACTAATTTTTATATACATACAAACGGATAATTTTTGGAACAACGTACGTATTTCTTACTTTCCTCTGAATTGAACAAGTCAATAACCTAACCAATATACAAAACTCATCAACAAATAAGGAAAAAGAAAAATTCCTTTATAGAAATTTTCCTTTTTGCAAATTTGGGTATTTTCTATATTTTTATAAAAATTTAATATTTTATATAATTAGGGTAAAATTATTAAAATCTAGAAAGACGCACGGAAGCTGACAAACTTGTGTTTAGTTTTCCGTACTTGGGGATCTGTCTGTCTATCTGCAAAATTAACCAACAGAGAGATTATTTGAAGACGAAACATCATCATCCAATCCATCAAAGCTTGAGACATCCATGTCGAGAGAGAGGACCAGACGTGAGTTACCTCCCGTTCAAGAGGTACTTCTACTACTACTCGGATCTGCTCTCATTCTTTCCCTATTTTCACTATGTTCTATTACCTTTTCGATTCTTATAATCAGCAATTGATGCTTTTTTTTTTTGTGGTAAAAATTGTAATAGCATATTGATAAATTGCGGAAAGTGGTAGAGGAAGGCAATGGCTATGGAGCGTTGCAGATGTATAAATCTATTAGTGCAAGGTTCGTTGCTCGATCCCCAATTTTTATCCTTTTGCGTATTACTCTTGATTCTGCATTGACCCTTTTTTGAAATTCTGGTGATTTGTCGATTGTAGTAGAGCTGCTATCATGAATTGGTTGTTTTATTTGTGTTTCATACATGTGATTGGATTGATAAAGGATTAGCTTTTTTCTCGTTTTCAGATATGTTACGGCTCAGAGATTCTCTGAAGCTCTTGATATCCTCTTTTCAGGGGCTTGTATTGAACTAGAACATGGCCTGGTTTGTTCGTTTCCCTTCTTTGTTTATTCTATTATCAATTTCTTCTTCCAACTTGGAGGGACATGTTTATCACAAAGACAACATCTTTGTTTTGTCTTGTGCACTTTTGTCTTTTTTTTTAGTTTTAGTAGAGGTTGTTTCTTATTGAAAAATGCGGATTCTCAGGTGAATTGTGGAGCGGACCTCGCTATTTTGTTTGTAGACACACTAGTTAAAGCCAAGTCTCCTTGCAACGACGAAACTCTTGGTTAGTTCGATCCAAATACAATTGCTTTGTCACCTATTGCAGTTTTCGGGTATACTGAAATATTTCCGTCAGATCGTATCAGGGGCATGTACAAATTGTTTCCTCGGGTTCCCGTACCACCTCATTTGGTAGACGTGAGCGACGATGAAGATGTCCAAAATCTTCAAGAATCTCTTGGGGAAGCCAGATCACGTGTTGACAACTTGACTTCCTTCTTGAGAGCTGCTATAAAGTAAGCCAGAGCATTTGTATTACTTTGCTTATTCTACTGCTACTGTCCATCGTTTTTGTGTTGTTTGGTCTGAATATCTATCAAACATGTTAGAGTTAAACATTTTTATGTTGGTTTCTTCTTTCTCTTAGATGGTCTGCGGAATTTGGAGGCCCAAGTACTGGCTATCCTGAGTTGCATGCTATGCTGGGTGATTATCTCTACACTGAGTGTCCTGAACTTGTAATCCTCTTGTAGCCATTTTCTTATTATAATGTTATACGTTTCATATTTCTTCATTAATCGGTTTTTAATATATTTCTCGCAGGACATGGTCCGGATATCCCGACATTTTGTTAGAGCTGAGGACCCCGAGAAGTTTGCGTCTATGCTGATCAGCTTTATGGGAAGGGTTAGTCTCTTCATTTCAAGTTGTCCTATCTCTTAATTTCTCTATTAGTAGTCTTAAGTTTTAGCGTAGAGTAGTTTTTGCATTGTGAAAGAAAATTCAAGAAATGTCTGGATTTCAATGATCTCGTGGCCAAAAAAATTGTGTTTTCCTTACTTGAATACTACTTTACAGTGTTATCCCGGAGAAGATGACCTCGCCATTGCACGAGCAGTTCTCATGTAAGTTCATGCTTTATAACTGTATGTATACATGGATTGCAGAGTTTGAGGGGAACTAAAGAGAAGAAATTGATTCTTTTGTTTTTGTTTGCATGATAGGTACTTATCTATGGGTAACATGAAAGATGCAAACTTTATGATGGATGAGATTAAGAGACAAGCAGAGACAAAAAATCCCGAGCTTTTAGAATCAGACCTTATCCAATTTATCTCATATCTTCTGGAAACGTTAGTTACTTACTTAGATCTTCTTCTTCCTTTAGTCTTTTCTGCTAGTTGTTGTTTACCTAAAGAAATTTGTTACTCAATACAGGTTGCAGAGGGATGCATTGCCTCTTTTCAATATGTTAAGAGTTAAATATAAGTCAAGCATAGATAGAGACCAGCTGCTTAATGAGGTATACAGTTGTTAGTTACTGGTCCCCAGTTTCTTCAACAAAATGCAACTCTTATGTTTTAATCCTTATTGATTCGATATAGATCTCTTTCACTTTTGATGAAAACCCTGAAATTGTTTTATATTTTGCAGTTGCTGGACGAGATTGCAGAGAGGTTTTACGGAGTGCAGCGTAAGAATCCTCTGCAAGGGATGTTTGGAGACATCTTCAAGGTAAAGAAATCCTATATTTATATCATATCTTGATGTTACGTTGCTTGTTAACCATTGAAACTCTGTTTGTTCTGTGCAGATGATGGGCTGAGGAAGGTGATAGAAGAGGCAAGAATACTCGTTTTAAAAAAAAAAACAAAAAGAAATATCCTTTTTGATTTGTTTACTTGGGCAATGTACAAATAATGAATAGCTCTGGAGAATTCTCCAGATCATAAGTTATTTCTCTTTTCCTCAAGTGGAGGTTAAAAGAGTTTTGTTCTTTGTAACAGTTTACATTTGTTCGTCTTCACTACATTTTCAGGATAAATGAAAATTAGACTTGTAATCTAGAAAGGGCAAATGTTTCTTTAGATTCAAATCCTCTTGTACTTTACTATGCAAGACAGATAAGTTGTGGACCACGAAACGACAAAATAAGTACTACAGAACATCAAGAATCTCGAACAACAGTTGAAGAAGAGAAGCAAGTACAGAGCCTTGACATGGTTGTGGCTTTAAGCAAGTTAGATTGTGCTGCATCAAGCAATGAATCAGCTTCAAGGGATTTCTCGAAACAGGACTTAGCTTCTTCCCACCTACGTTCAGCCACAAACACAAGTCCAAGGTTGTTGTATGCAGGTGCATAACCCGGTTTGAGTTCCAACGCCTTTGAGAACATTGCTTTGGAGACTTCGTACTGCTTTTTTTGTCGATAGAGGTTCCCGAGGTTAGAGAATATTGTGTGAGCTTGATCCTCTGTTGACACGGCCAAGGCTCGCTTGTATACTTCCTCGGCTTCTGAATGTTCGTCTGATAAATGTAGTGAGATACCTAAAAGCCAACACATGAAGCTAACATAAGAGCTACGCATTGAACTTAACATTGTGGAACCACATCAATTTGCTCCTCACACTTAGAGCAATGCAATCATTGATTTGAAGAGGGTGTTACCGAGATTTGACCACACATAGCTACATTCTCTAGAACGCCCCACTGCTGCCTTGATGTATTTTTGGGAGAGCTTATATTGTTGAGAACAGAGACTATGAAGACCGAGCTGGTGCCACCGGACTGCATCTTCAGGATCCTCTGTTACTGCCTAATAAATAAGAAGAATAATGAGATTTAAAAAAATCTGGATGCGACAATATTTCTTCACTATCTATGTGTGTGTGTCTGTACTTGTGACCAAACCAGAAGAAGTGCCAATGGCTTATTTAAGGAAATCAGTCTTTTAACTCTAAATAGTCAACTCTTCAGTTAATCTCATTTTCTACCAACATCTGAAACTAACTTCAAAAGTATCGCAACTACAGAAACAGAATACCTGCTTTAAGGTGTACACAGCTCGCTCTTCCATTTCTGTCAATTCATTCCGGTCAGCAACAAAAGCAGCTGCAATTTCATGTTGTGCCTTGTGAGCCATGGCAAGCCCTGCCCAAGCAATGGGAGGGTCAATTGGAACAGATTCTCCTTCTCTTATCACTGAAGCCATCTCATTGCCAGCCCATGAAAGCTGGTCGCTTGCATCCTGTGACCTTTCTGCATCTTTGATTCGTTGTACAGCAACAGCAAATCTAGTAGCCATACAGTTGGGATCAAGCTTGGCTGCCTGAAAAAAAAAAGTAACAGGTTAATTCAGTCAACCATAACCAAGACTGCTGTTGTAAGCAAAATAGTTTACAGCCAAAATCTTATTATCACACAACCAGGGTTACATTTTGAACAGCCTGTCATCAAGGCGCAATGGCTCATTTAGACAAGGTATGATTAATTACATAAGTTTCTTTCTCCTATGCATTTGGATCAGGTTTGAATCTATGCCTATTGCAGTAGAGACCAAACATAGACGCAGAATCACAAGCAAATGTTCGATAAAAACAAGAAATATTTAAACCAAGGTTATTTATAGCTCATCAGATAAGAGGTTAATATGCCCAATCCATTTAGAGGAACAGCGTCCACCCTAATTCTCCAAAGTAAACGTATAAAGAATGGGTAGGGTATGCAGGACTCTTGGTACTTATTTTGCATTACTTTCACTAAGTTCCAAATATGCCTTGAGAAAAAATGAAATGGAAATCAAGTAAAGGAAACCTGTCTGTCTAAGATAAGGAAAACAATGAACAACCTCAAAACAAAGAGTGAGCCAAGAGCACCTTCTCCAAACATTTGCTAGAACTTCTGTGATCACCCATCATATGGTATGAATTAGCAAGATTCACCCACGTATGGGCAGACTTTGGATCTGATCTTAGAGCAGCTAAGAGACATTCCTTCGCGGCATTCATAGGTGCCTTCTGATCTTCAGAAGCACCAGCACTACCATTAGCCCCGGCACCTGACATATATTAAAAACACATTTTACAAGTTACAAGTGGAAATACAGTTTCACATAAGATACATGTCCCTCTGCTTTTGCATGTGTACTTTGCTGAGGCAGGTTGAGAAGAGAGAAAACAATTTAAAGGTTCTTTCATAAGAAACAAACCAGCGACAGTTGAACTGTGTTTGCAGAGAAGCTCAGCAGCATAATTAATCAAAGCGGCAGGATGGTTATGGTCTTTCAGTACCAAATCTTGAAAACATTTTGCTGAAAGCTCCATATCGCCACTGGAAGACTTGTTCATTAGAGAGAAGTATCATGATAGTAGTTAGACAGTTGCGAATAAGAAAACACCTCACCTTTGAAGATACGCAACTCCAAGGTTTGCAAGGCAATCATAATTGTCAGGAACAAGCGCCAACAAAGATGACAAAACGGATATGGCACTCTACAAATCAACAAAGCAGAATTGTATTATGAAAGTAATCACATTAACAATCAACCAACATGGTGAAGAATTTTACCTTCAAACAACCAGCTTTGAGAAGCATTAAGCCAAGGGTATTCCACACGGCAGCCTGTCTAACATCTAACTTTATAGAATCCTTTAGTTTTGAAAGAATTTCTTCAAGCTCGTCTCCCTCAAGCTCTTTAACAGAGTCCGTATCCCCAAAACCATCCAAAAGAAGACACTACAATGCAATATTACAATATGTATGAATTATCAATAAAATAAGGTGCTTGTGAATACAAGTCTACAAATATGCTGATTCAGACACAAAGATCAGATGATCACCTGTCCATGGTGAATCTGAACTAACAAGAGTAGTTCTGGCCGAGCAATTTCTGGCTCACAACCAAGTAAGATCTCTTCAGCTTTCTCATATTCTGGTATCGCCTAAAATCTTCTAGCAGTTAAACTCAATAAAATGATACTTGTTCTAAGATATATCAGAGTAGCCTCAGCTCAAGCCTACCTTTTGAGATTGGCCCAATCGTTGGAACATTAGACCAAGAATAAAATGGGCATGAGCATTTTTGGGCATCTTCCTTGCAACATGAATCAGACCCTATAAACAGAGCAGCATTATAACAGAATTTATATAGAGCATCATCATCATGAAACATTAGACCAAATAATCAACTGGGATGAGTATTATGGAATAATGAGCACCATCATCATATTAGGGTCGATAAACTCACCATTTTGAGGTTACTAATTTTTTCTTCCCGGGATACAGGGATCCCTTGATTAGCCTGATCACCATCTGCATCAACTCCACAGTCAGAGGAAGCCTCAATCTTACTTCTCGAGCGGCATTTCCCCACCTTGCCAATCTTTTTGGCTTCTACATCTCCTGTTTCCACCTCCTTGCATGTTGATGTACCTCCCTCTTGATGACTTTCCTCGTTAGTAAACCTAAAAGCATAGAAATGTAGTAATCCGTATTAAACCCTTTTGGGCACAAATTGAACGTTCCAACTCTTTTCAGTTTTCAACTAAACACAGTAGACTTTAGTTTGCACAAATTTTCCATATATCAAGATCGGTCTAACTTGACATGATTGTAAAAGAAGTAAAGAACCCTGAAGAATTAATCTTTCCAGACTCTTACTGAAGGAAACAGTAAGAAACTAAGAATTAACCTCTCTGAGCATCTCCTACCTCAAAGCAGTAAGAATCAAACCCTACTTGTCAAAACAAAACAAAAAGCCCCCCATTTCTAAAGCCAGACTCTTACCGAACGAAAACCAAAGTCTCCACTTTTAGAATTACGGCATAAGAAGACATCATCTTTATAACCCCGTAACAAAAATGTCACCCAGAAATAAGTAGACTAGAAAAATAGAAAGAAAAAGGTTTAGATGAAACACACAAAACTCTGTAGAAGCATAAGAGGGATACCTAGCGATGGAGGGAGTAGGGATTTGAATGGATGAGTCAAGATCATCAGTCTCAGGAGGATTGAAATTGAGGTCAGCTAAGACTACAAGCTTTGGAGGTCGAGCAGGAGAAGGCCTATCGATAGCGGAAGGAGATGCAGGAGAGTCAACGGTCATGGGTTCGTGTTTAACGGCGATCGTCTCCGGCCGGTCCATCGATGTTCTGAGTGCGCCGGAAAGTAAAGTTGAGCTGAAGCCAAAATCAAATCAAAAATTAAAACACTTGACGACGGCTGTTTGGCTACGAGGATTGGTCTGTCCTTTGCTTTGCACTACACTGATCATTCAATCACCGATCCAAAAATATTATTTAAAAAAAAAAAAATCAACTCTAAAGGTCAAATTTTAGTAGATAACTTTTCAGTTCGATTCATTGTATTTTTTGGTAGAACATTATATTTTATCACTTTTGAACTTACTATTTAGTTGTTCTTAAGCATTATGATATAGTAGTAACTTAAATTAACAATGCTAATAACTTGTGTAGTCGGCGTTAATTAACAAAGTTTCTCGTCCAGAACCAAAACAAGAACAAACCGAACAAGAAGAGACTTTTACAATATAACGAAAATCCATCAGAAATTAGAACACACTAAAAAGATATCAGTACAAAGACAAAAACACACTAAACAAGAAAAGAAAAAACACATGAAGATATAAACATCTCATGTTTATCTACCAACTCAATTCATACAATTTATATATATGATATAATAACCATAATATATATATAGAAAGTGAGGAAAGTACATAGCAAGAGCTTACACAAACATAAGAAACTGATCAGAGAAACAGTCATCATCACTCAGTTGCACAAATCCCAAACTCAGGAAGGATCCAACCATTGTCCATGGCATGGCTAGCATACAACTTAAACTTCTCTT